GTGGCCTTCATTTAAACACTTCAGGAAAATTATTTGTAGGTCCCCCAAAGGCTTGAGTTATTTGTGGAAGTCTCCTTTATCCTGAAAGTCTTTCAAAAAAAAAGAGAAGAAAAAAAATCTCCAATATGAATATATTTTAGGATAGGGATAGGGACTTTTCAAAGAGAATCTCATAAAATGTCGGTGCAGGACATTTGTGCCTCAAGTCTTTTGTTGAAAAAAAAATTATTTTTTGTTGCCTTCATTTAAACATTTCAGGAAAATTATTTGTAGGTATTCCAAAGGCTTGAGTTATTTGTGGAAGTCTCCTATATCCTGAAAGTCTTTCAAAAAAAAAGAGAAGAAAAAAAGTCTCCAATATAAATATTTTTTAGGATAGGGAAAGGGATTTTTTAAAGAGAAAATCATAAAATGTCGGTGCAGGACATTTGTGCCTCAAGTCTTTTGCGGAAAAAAATCTTATTTTTTGTGGCCTTCATTTAAACATTTCAGGAAACTTTTTGTAGGTCTTCCAAAGGCTTGAGTTCTTTGTAGAAGTCTTCCATGCCTTGAAAGTCTTTAAACAAAAGACTTAAGACACAAACACAATTTTTTCAGGAGTTCTCTTCAAGCCTTCGAAAGTCTATAATATAAATATATTATAGGATAGGACTTTTCAAAGAGAAAATCATAAAATGTCGGTGCAGGACAGAAAATCTTATTTTTTGTGGCCTTCATTTAAACATTTCAGGAAAATTATTTGTAGGCCTTCAAAAGACTTGATTGCTTTGTGGAAGTGTTCCATGCCTTGAAAGTCCTTCAAACAAAAGACTTAAGACACAAACACATTTTTTTCTGAGGTTTTCTTCAAGCCTTCGAAAGTCTCCAATATAACAATATTTTTTTAGGATAGGGATAGGACTGGCCTTCATTTAAACACTTCAGGAAAATTATTTGTAGGTCTTCCAAAGGCGTAGGATCTTTGTGGAATTCTAATATGTCTTGAAAGATTTTCAAACAAAAGACTTAAGACACAAACACAATTTTTTCTGAGGTTCTCTTCAAGCCTTCGAAAGTCTCCAATATAAATATATTTTTTTAGGAAAGGATCGTCACTAAAAAATCAGGAAAATTGGTATCTAAAGCCTTTTAATTGAAATTAGATATAAAAGGGTCTACCTTAGGTATCCTTAGAAATATTCAGTCCTTCTTAAGATTTTTGAGAATCTGCCGGAGATAGGAAGACCTCTTTTTGGAAAATGGAAAAAAATCTTATTTTTTGTTGCCTTCTTATTGAAAATTTTCAGGTGTGGCAAAGGCTTGAGTTTTTTGTAGAAGTCTCCAATATCCTCAAAGTCTTCCAAACAAAAGACTTAAGACACAAACACAAAATTGTTTCTGAGGTTCTCTTTAAGCCCTCGGAAGGTACCTTCGGAAATTTCCCATATAAATATATTTTAGGCTAGGGTCATCTCATAAAAACAGGAAGGTTTCTGTCTAAAGCCTTTTAATTGAAATTTGATATAAAAGGGCCTACCCTAGGCATCCTTAGAAATTGTAAAATAGTAAAATAGTCCACCTTAAGATTTTTGAGAATCTACGTTAAATAGGAAGACCTCTTTTATTGGAAAATAAAAAAAATCATATTTTTTGTTGCCTTTTTATTGAAATTCAAAACCTTTCAGGGCCATAATTTAGGAGTCTCTCAAAGGCTTGGGTTCCTTGTGGAAGTCTTCTATACCTTAAAAGTCTATAAAACAAAAGACTTAAGCCACGAATATTATTTTGTTTCCGAAGTTTTCTTTAAGGAGGTCTTCGGAGGTCTCCAATATGCCAAAATTTTAATGCAGGAAGATCTCCTTTGTATTTTCTGCATCAGGCGTGTTTGTGTCTTAAGTCTTTTATTTTGAAAAATGTATGAAAGGGCTTTGGTATCCTTGGAAGTATACATTGCTCCTTAAGATTTTTTGAAAATCTGCCTGAGATCGGAAGATCTGTTTTATTAGAAACTGGAAAAATCATATTTTTGTTGTCTTCTTATTGAACACCAAAACATTTCAGGGATTATATTTATAGATCTCTCAAAAGCTTGCGTTTTTGTGGAAGTCGTCTATACCTTGACCGTCTCTAAAACGAAAGACTTAAGACACGAACATAAATTTATTCCTGAGGTTCTCTTTAAACAAAAGTATCTTCGGAGGTCTTCAATATGCTAAAATTTTAAAGCAGGAACATTTTCTTATCATTTCCTGCATCCTCCGTGTTTGTGTGTTAAGTCTTTCATTTGAAGCTTATATCTAAAAGGACCCATCATAGGTATCCTTGGATATTTTTGAAATACATTTTTAAAGACCAGGATTTTTTATCACTTATTCATCGAAGAGGTATTTCTATCTTCTGCAGATTTTCAAAAATTTTAAGGAGAACGGAACAAGTTTTCCAGAATCTGCCGGAGATAGAAAGACCTTTCCTATGAGTGAAAAAAAAATGATTTGAAAAGGTCTTGGTCTCTAAAAACGTATTTAAAAAAAATCTCTTCAAATATTAATAAAAATGTAAAATTTCCAAAGCCAATAGTCGCACACCTTTCACCCTAATAAATCATAAAATAAAAGAAAAAAACTTAACGACAATAAAACTTTCAAAATTATTAATTCATAAATTTTCAGATTTTTAATTATTCATAAATATCACAGCTCCCCTTTAACAGCTGACAACTGAACAAAAAAATTAACACCCCAAAAAAAGAGGAAATGCCATAAATTTATCTAAATTTCCTATTCAATTCCCAGAAAGTTTTATGGGTTTTCAACTCTATTTTAAGAGATTCGATTTTTATCATTTAAACAGAAGATCCATTGTCTCAAACTGAATTTATTGCCCTAATATTCAGTTCGAATTATAATTTTGATCGAAATAATACAAAATTCATAATTTCATACAAAAGACTTAAGACGCCAACTCGATTAAATCAAATAACCGCAGAGAAGCTAAAGAAATTGTTACAAAAGACTTAAGACACAAACTCGAAGAGAACAAAAATTTGAAGAGAAATGAATAAAATTATGACAAAAGACTTAAGGCACAAACACAAGTCAAAATCGTCATCATTGAAAATTGGAGGAAATATGTGACACTTGAGGAAAAAAAATATTAAAAATTTTCCTCAACTCAATTTCCGTGCACAAAAGCCATGAGAGAGCCATTCACACAATAAGGACGATTTTGAAAATATATTTTTATAAAGTCTCCGTCTCTCTTTGGTCTTAAAATATTTAAAAAAAAATCCACATCTCTCCTTGGTCTGCTAGGCCTTTAAAAGAAATTTTAACAATCCATGTTTCATGTTAGCCTTTGAAAAAATATTTTTATAAAATCCCCGTCTCTCCTTGGTCTTATTTTTTTTTAATTTACGCCTTTAAAAAAATATTTTTATAAAATTCCCGTCTCTCCTTGGTCTTTAAAAAAATATTTTTAAAAATCCCCGTCTCTCTTTGGTCTTTAAAAATTTTTTTTAAAAAATCCACGTTTCATGTAAGCATTTGAAAAAATATTTTTATAAAATCCAAAAATATTTATTATATTTATTAATATTATTTTTATAAAATCCCCGTCTCTCCCTGGTCTTTAAAAAAATATTTAAATAAAAACCCAGTCTCTCCTTGGTCTTTAAAAAAATATTTTTATAAAAACCCCGTCTCTCCTTGGTCTTTAAAAGAATATTTTTATAAAATCCACGTCTCTCCTTGGTCTTTAAAAAAATATTTTTATAAAATCCCCGTCTCTCCTTGGTCTGACACAAAAATATTTTTAAAAATATTTTTAAAAAAATCCGCGTTTCATGTAAGCCTTTGAAAAAATATTTTTAAAAATCCACGTTTCATGTAAGCCTTTAAGAAAATATTTTTATAAAATCCACGTCTCTCCTTTGTCTTTAAAAAAAAAATTAAAAAATCCACATTTTATGTAAGCCTTTGAAAAAAATATTTTTATAAAATCCCCGTCTCCCCTTGGTCTTTAAAAAACATGTTTATAAAATCCTCGTCTGCTAGGCCTTTAAAATTTTTTTTTTAAATCCACGTTTCATGTAAGACTTTGAAAAAGTATTTTTATAAAATCCCCGTCTCTCCTTGGTCTGCTAGGCCTTTAAAAAATATTTTTAAAAAATCCCCGTCTCTCCTTGGTCTTATTTTTTTAATTTACGCCTTTAAAAAAATATTTTTATAAAATCCCCGTATCTCTCTGGTCTTTAAAAAAATATTTAAATAAAAACCCAGTCTCTCCTTGGTCTTTAAAAAAATATTTTTATAAAAACCCCGTCTATCCTTGGTCTTTAAAAAAATATTTTTATAAAATCCCCGTCTTCCTTAGTCTATAATTTTTTTTTAAAAATCCACGTTTCATGTAAGCCTTTGAAAAAATATTTTTATAAAATCCCCGTCTCTCCTTGGTCTTTCAAATTTTTTTTTAAAAATTCCGCGTTTTGTATAAGCCTTTGAAAAAATATTTTTATAAAATCCCCGTCTCTCCTTGGCCTTTGAAAAAATATTTTTATAAAATCCCCGTCTCTCCTTGGCCTTTGAAAAAATATTTTTATAAAATCCCCGTCTCTCCTTGGTCTTTAAAAAAATATTTTTATAAAATCCCCGTCTCTACTTGGTCTTTAAAAAATAATAAAAAATCCTTACATGAAGGCCCTTGAAAAAAATATTTTTATAAAATCCCCGTCTCTCTTTGGTCTTAAAAATAATATTTTTAAGAAATCCACGTTTCTTGTAAGCCTTTGAAAAAATATTTTTTTAACTGAAAAATATTCTTCTCTCAAGGTCCATTGCCCTTAATTTCTTCCTCTTTTTCCATAATAAAAATCATAAATCACATTTTTATAATAACCTTTTCATTTCCCATTTTCCTCATATTTTACAACATCATTTTGATCTGAAAAAAAAAATCCTCCAATAATTCGCAGTAATTAACATTATTCCCCATTGTCTCTCTCTCTCCCTTCTCCATAATTACAGAGTCAATTGATTGCTGACACCTTGTGGAGTTCAATATCTGATCATCATTTTCATCGACATAGCTGCTGCTGTTGCTGCTGAATCTAAGACTGGCTATATAAGGCATTTGTGTTTTTTTTTTTTGCGAAAAAGGTAAGTGATTATTAATGTGGCTGTAGCTTCTTTGCTTTGGCTGTTTGCAGCTGCAAGACCCCAGGGAGGCCCTTTCCAATGGCATTAGAAAAGTCATCAAATCAATGCTTGGAAGTGATTGGGGGCTATTAAAGGGCGCCATAATTACCATTAAATAACACATAGGCAAAGATAGAGGGAAGCCTCGCTTACTCGGGCTAAAAAGTGCGTAAATGCGTACGTGTGTGTGTGCCATTTTCCCCATCATGCATGCATGCACGCATTTCACAGCAGGTGTTGAATATGTCTTTATATGGAGCTGTGGATTGATAGCAATCTTGCCCTGGTGGAGGGGGTTTGTTTTTACTCTACCATGCCATAAATTCTGCTACTCTCCCCCTTTCTCTCTCTCTCTCTTTTTCTTTCTCTGGGTCCCTCAACTATGGCAAATTTTAGCGCGTGCATACCTAATGAAGGGAAAACTGCCAGAGAACTCCGAACTCTTTTCGTTTTCCTTTCCTCATTTTGTTGTCTTACAAAACATTTGTTGTAATTTTTCTTGTTTTCCTTATAAAGAACACTGGGAACACGAAAAAGCATGGTCTTGTGAACCCTATGACTAGCATTTCCATGTCCATGTATTTTTTTGTGTTCTCTGCCATTTCCATTTTTCATAAATTCATTCATTCAAACCACTTTCTGGTGCTACCTTCTTCTTTTGCTAACTTCACACAATGCCATAGCTAAAGGCGGAAGTCAAACATTTTCCAAGTGTTTAAATGCGTTAGCTGGCCGAGCGATTCGAAAATGTATGCAAAATGTGTTTTTCCTCGCTCTGTGGCCTTAACTTCGTAACTCTGAAAGGGCAATGCATTTTATGGTATTTTTCCCTCTACCCATTAAGCCAAAGATAAATGGAAATGGAAAAATAGCGCAAATACAGAACCCAGCACAACTGCAACCTTCAAATGGCCGAGCAGAAGATTTTCCAAGCAAGTCATGGCTGGTATTTTTTTTATGGTTTTTAAATAAACATTTTGCAAACGGCAACAATTATAGGCACGAAAAATATGTTAAGGCAAGATTTGAGGGCTCTCAGGAACCGTTAGATGGGAAATTTTTCTCAGAAAGCAGGGGGGAGGGGAGGCAAAGGTAGGGGAAAAAACTCTGTAATCTGAAATCGATTTTCATTTGAAATTTTATTCTCCAAACGAAAAAAAAAAAATATTTAATTCATAATTTCAAACAAAAGACTTAAGACAAAAACCTCGAAGAAATCAACCTCTTAAGAGAGATACGAAAAATCATAACAAAAGACTTAAGACACAAGCGTGAATCAAAATCGCAAAGTCATTTGGAATCATTTTTTTCCAGAATAGAAAATATTTTAGGGAATTGTTCTATGGAAAATTTCATCAAAACCATTTCCGATGTTTTAGGGTGGACAAGAAATGAGTTTTATATCTGCGATATTTTTTTAATTTAAAAATGAATGGCGAGAAGAAGAAAATATATTTTTATAAAATCCCCGTCTCTCCTTGGTCTTTAAAAAAATATTTTTAAAAAATCCACGTTTCATGTAAGCCTTTGAAAAAAATATTTTTATAAAATCCCCGTCTCTCCTTAGTCTTTAAAAAATATTTTTAAAAAATCCACGTTTCATGTAAGCCTTTGAAAAAATATTTTTATAAAATCCCCGTCTCTCCTTGGTCTTTAAAAAATATTTTCAAAAAATCCACGTTTCATGTAAGCCTTTGAAAAAATATTTTTAAACAATCCCCGTCTCTCCTTGGTCTTTAAAAAATATTTTTAAAAAATCCTCGTCTCTTCTTGGTCTTTAAAAAAAAATCTTTTTAAAAAATCCACGTTTTATGTAAGCTTTTGAAAAAATATTTTTATAAAATCCCCGTCTCTACTTGGTCATTAAAAAATATTTTTAAAAAATCCACGTTTCATGTAAGCCTTTGAAAAAATATTTTTATAAAATCCCCGTCTCCCCTTGGTCTTTAAAAACATATTTTTATAAAATCCCCGTCACTCCTTGCTCTTTAAAAAAAAATATTTTAAAAAATCCCCGTCTCTCCTTGGTCTTAAAAAAAAAATATTTTTATAAAATCCACTTCTCTTCTTGCTCTTTAAAAAAATATATTTTTTTTGCCATTTCAAAATAATTTTCAACGTTTTAGACCAGAGAGGTCTTAGAAGGAATATATTATATCACTAACTCAACCGTTTCTTTTTTCCTTTTTTTTAAATTTTCAAAAAAGCCGAGTTTTTCTCTCGAAAATAGCAATTCGGCAAAGTTTTGCTGACAATAAAGGTAATTCAGCAAATTTTTCTTTAAAAACCTTCAATTCAGCAAAGGCTTACTGAGGACAATTTCAATTTAGCAAAGTTTTTGCATCAAAAAATCTAAATTTTAAAAAGTTTTTTTTTTGAAGAAAAATCGAAATTCAACAACAACATTTCTTTCTTTCAATTTTTTTAATTAATTTTTTGTAATTTTTTATTTATTTATTTATTTTTTATTTTTTCTTGGTTCATATTTTGTATTTTTTTTTTTTTGTTTGTTTTTTGTATTTTTTTTTTATTTTGAATTTTACTTTTTTGGGTTCATTTCCCCCCATTACCATTTAAATCCTGAACGTTAATATCCCTCAGTGTCAATATTTTTGTTCTTATTTTTTTATTATTTTATTTTTTTTTTGTAATTTTTATTTTTTTAATTTTTTATTTTTATTATTTTATTTTAATTAATTTTTTTTAATATTTTATTTATTTACTTTTTTAT